TAGCGTCAAGTATTTCTTGGGGATGACTTTAACATAAAAATGATAAAAGGACGATTAACAAGAGAGGAATATATATTTTTGACAGAAGCTCAACACCATAAAAAATAAAACTGCACGAAGGAAAATAAATGACTACCCCGTAAAGCAAGATTTCCATCACTACTCTCTCAGAAAATAAATTGCTAACCACTAAACGTGGGCCATCGTAACCCCAGCAAGACTTCATGCCTCTCACGGGCGACCCTCCCAGATCCCTCGTCTCACGATCTGGCGCCCACTCTTTTCCTTCGGCAAATCCCCCCCCCCCGCCAGCCATGCCCCATCACACAGTCAATCCTACCATACCAACAGCTCGAATCCTAGTCACAACAATCCTAATAATATCACTATGATTATTAATAATAGGCATTGTAAAGAAGCACAGTGACACACACACACACACACACTCCAAAAAGCCTCTTGTGTCACGTCAGACACGTTCCCACCGGCTGTGACATCCCCCCCCCTCCTTGGGCCGGCCGATCACCCCGGAAGGCCCTTCCTTCCCGCTTCGCGCGTTCCCCCCGCACGCGGAGGACCCCGCAGCCTCCGACGCTCGTCCGCTTTGAAGGCCTCGACGCGCCGGCCGAGGGCGGGGAGATCCTCCGAGAGGAGCCTTTCAACCCGCCTTAACGCGCGCGCAGGGGTGGATGGCAACCCCCCAATCCCGCCACGGCCCTCCTCCCCGAGGAGGTCGCTCGCCAATCGGAGGATCTCCGGCCGCACGACGTTGATCCATCGCCGTTCCGCCTCGGTCGAGCGCGGCGGCTCGGCGTACAAACGAAGAAACACGGCATCGCTCGCATAAAGCAGCTCGCGCGCGTAGCGGCGGAAGTGATACTTCGCGAACACGAGCCCGATCCACCCCAGCCCGACGGCGCTCAGCCCCGTTGCGAGGGCCGCGGGGATGGTCGAGGGCGGGAGCGCGGTAAAGACGACGAGCGGCCCCCCGACGCATCCGAACGCGAGGCTGCTTAGAAAAAGCAGCACCCGGCGATGGTATTCTCGCCGAAGGGAGTTGCACACACGCGCGGCCATCCACACACAACCCGCACGCTCTCTCTTTTCCGTGATAAGATTCTCCAGACGGCGGAGCGGCGAGACGAGGATCTCCGTCAGGATCTCATTCCGCTCCCGCACGAGTTCCGCCGCAGGAATCGCAGTTTCAGAGGTCGCTTGATCGTTCCCTTCGCCCGTTTCCACGCGCGTTCGCGGGGTGGCGATGGCGTAGATGCGCGGAGGCTCCTTCCCCGGCATCACCCGACTGAGATTCCAGCAAAGGGCGCCGTAGCAACGCGCGAAATCGGCCGCTCGGGTGAACGCATCCGCCTTGTGGAGCACGATCAGCAGCCGCTGCTCAAGGCCGGCGAGGCTCTTCGTGAGCACGTCGAGCGTTTCCCCGGTAATCTGAATATCGAGCGGGTTGGTGGGATCGAACAGAAGTAAAATCAGATCGCTACGCCGGGCAAACCACCGCGTCGCGGCGATAAAATCATACCCTCGAGGCTGGTGCCCGTTATCGGATGGCGTATTGCAGGAACATGCGTTGTTGAGCATGTCAGGGGTGTCGATCAGTGTGAGGTTTGACGGCAACGCGCAGTTCGCCGGCATCACACGGGTTTTGACTTTTAAACGGCGATGCAGGTTCGCGCCGAGTGGGTGTAGCGATTGCAGCGCGTAGTTAGAACTGCGCAACGCCAAGACCCCTTCTTCGGTGAAATCAACCGCACCATGGCGGATAACGGTGAAAAAACCGCCCCCTTGGTCGCCGTTTTTTGTTTCCTGAATCTCCCGCCCGGCGAGGAAGTTAATAAACATCGATTTGCCCGCGTGGCGGTTACCAAGAACCATCACCGTTGGGGTGGGGTGATCGGCTTCGTCGACTTCGTCAGCGGCGCGGGCGAAGCAAAAGCTCCCGGCGATGGGGCGAAGCGCGCGCTCCGCGATTTCGTTGATTCGCGCCTCGATTTCACGCTGCTCGCGGACGGCAGCGCCGTAGATGGCAGATGCGAGGGAGTCCTCCGCGCTGATGGCGAGCTTATCGCGTGCTGAGGCCTCTCCTTCCTCGATTTCAGAGCGCGCACCGTCTTCCTCAGCGGCCATTTCACGCCGCGTATTGGGGTAAGGAGGGGGCTGCTCGACATAGCGTCGTGATGCGCTGTTCGGTATTGCCGCCGCGGCGCTTTTGGAGAATCTCCTTGCCGGAGAGGCGATCCGGTCGTTAAGCGCGCCGGCGAGAAGGCGATTGAACCTCATTGAATGACTAACATTCCCACCAGAAACCAAGGGGTTCTGCCTGGTAAGAAGTCGCGTTAGTTTCAATATAACCCCCCTGCGCATTGGCTTCTATTCTTTTTTTTTTTGGTGATAACGGGGACGATGGTTCAACCTCCGTTAGTCTTTTGTAATTGAGGTCAAGTGTGCGATCTAAAGATGCGCTTTTCCTTTTGATCTTGGATCCTTGAGCGGGTTACGTAATGCGAAATTATATGAACACGCATACACACACTTTCTCACTCATATATGCATGTATACCCTGAATGATAAAGGAGCACACCGAATCGAAGACTACGCGCGTGTGTGCGGGCAGAAAATCCCTAATCTAAGACTAAAGGAAGTAAAATTAGAAAAACATTCAAGCAAATGGAATTGTAGAATAAAAATCTCATGATTTAGCTGTTAGAGCGCAAGAATAAGAGACAATGAAACTCACTCCTATGCAAATACCGCGCATGCATTTTTATAATTTTTTTAGAGTGGGGGGGGTCGTATGCCCTATATACCATATGGGCTTCCTATGTATGTTATTACATCAGAAATTAACCCACCAAAAGAGGTTAAAAACAATTAATAACATTGGGTTTGAAGCAATAAAACTAATGATAGCAATAAAAGTCAATAGAACCCCATTCATGAGTATTTATTCAATGAACAGGATTCTCCCACTCTTTTGCATTGCCAAGAATGGATTGCTAGCTATATTTATGATGCATTGTATTTACCAAAGAGTATTTCCTGTGAAAAATCATAATAACAAACAAGAATCCTCTTTTGACGCGTACGCGGGTCGCTAGCAAGGGGGTTTAATGCACACATTCAATACGGAGCCGCCTTTTCGCATTTTTTGGAAAAGGTGTTTTGACGAATCTCCTGTCCGCGCATGGATAGTTGCAGAGTCTATGTGCAAATAACATTGCTCTCTGTTAGCTCACTTGTCAAAGAGCCAATTTCAGACCCCATCTACTTATTAGAAATTTCTTTTATCTACTCTTCCCATGTTAGCCAGCAAAATGTGAAGCACTCGAAAAATCGCGAATAATATTAGAATGAAGCGAGACAGCTTAGAGAACAAATTCTATCAATAGAGTAAATAATCATTACAAGGAAACTCACTAAACTCTCTAGTTTTCACACTTGAACGGGAATCTAGTGGTGAGAGTGTGACACATAAGCTCTTCCTCTCGTTCCCGTTGTTTCCTTACTTAATGTCGTTAAGGAAACACTAGACACTGTAATAAGGGTATCTCCTTCTTCCCCAATTATCACCCCCATCCCTGACTAAAGTCATGATGCGAAAGTCAATAAAAAAGGTAAGAAACGCCGTGCTGTGTCTTTAGCTCTGATTATTTTTCAACTACAATATTTTATGAGTTGCATACCAAGCGAGAGGATGGTAGTTAGTTTTCTGTATTTTTCTTTAAAGGAAAAATTAGAACAATACCGATCACTATAGATCTCGAGAGATGCGCGAGTGATTAGATGCCGTACTGCGGTGGGAAAAAAAAAGAGTGAGCAGAATGGGATATCACTCAACAAACATGCCAACAACTTATAACTAAAAAAAGCGGCACATTTGCCCGTAAGAGAAAAACAACAACCACCTTCTTACAAAGCGCCCCTTCTGCCTTTTCCTCTTCTTTTTTCTCCTTCTTTCCACATGAATCAGTGTGATCTGCGTGCATCCCCTTTGCCACCTTCCTCCATAGTTATCGGGAAGCCCCGGTGGATGCCGCACCCGCCACCTGCATCGCGGCGTAAATTCGCTGCACCTCGCGATTCATCTTACTCTGAAACTTCTCCGAGTACAGATGCGTTTCCGTCTCGGTAAGCATAAACATCTCAATCGGGAGCGTTTTCCCGTTTTCCAGCCGCGGAAGCCGCCAGGGGAGGTTTTTTCCGTGCCCCTCTCGCGGTGATTCCTCCGTCTCCCTGGCGGCATCGTCGTGGGGTTGGCTGAATAAATCGTCAAAAAAGGCGTGCTCGACGAACTCCACCGCGGTCAGCCGCTCCCCGGGGACGTAACGAAGCAGCTCGGAGACGAGCTTCACCGCCGTGGAAGGGGCGTCGCAATGCAGGACGTGCGTCCACGCCAACGCCTTCACCTTGAGGACGTTGTAATGCTCGAAATAATCGCTTGCGAGGCCGTAGGCCGGGTGAAACGAATCCCCGTCCACTCCGTCATTTCCATCCGCGTCGGAAATCCCTTGGGTGGAGGAAGGAGGGGGGGGAAGTCCTGTCGGGGCGCCAACCGCAGACGCGGCGGCGGCGGTGGAGGAGCCCGGGATCGACGGCGATGGAAATCCCCTCCCGCCGTACTGCCGATGCGTCTGCAGCATCGCCGCGGCGCTTTGCGAGTTCATCGCGTACATCTCACTCATCGAAGGGGCCCCCAACACCTTAAAAATCTCCGCCATCTGATCCACCGTGGTGATGCCTTTAAACACGGGATGGCCACCCTCGCGGAGGAGCTCCGCCGCGATGCAACCCACCGACCACATATCCACCTCACAGCCGTAATGCATCACCCCAAAAAGCAGCTCCGGCGCGCGGTAGTACCTCGAACAGATGTACGAAACGTTCTTATCAACCCCTTTCCGGCAAATCCGCTTCGCGCTTCCAAAATCACAGAGCTGAAGCCGGCCCGTCTCCGTATCGATGAGCATATTCGCGGGTTTGATATCGCGATGGCAGATATCCTTGCCGTGGAGAAAAGCCAACGCCCGGCCGAGCTGAAAGAGGATAAGTTTCGTCCATAGGAGCGGAAAAAGCATACTCCCGCTGTTATGATGGAGGCTGTTGGAATCCCCTTCGCTCCGATCCAACGCTGTTGGATTGGCGTTGGAGGATTTTCTTCGCCGGGCATCGCGCGGCGCCCCTCCTTTCTTTGCCGTCGCGCCCTCCCGGATGCGTTTAAAGTATTTTTGCTTCATCGCGAAAAAATCCGTCGGGAGGTAATTCATCACGAGGTTCACGTACTGCTCGTTCGTTTCGGGATCGGTAGAGTAGTAGTAGGTGCGGAGCTGCACGATGTTGGGGTGGCGTCGAAGTAGAAAACCCGTCGGCGACCCTGGCGCCGCGGGCGACGCTAACGACGACGGCGAACTCGTTGATGAAAGCAGCTCCGTGCTCAAAGGTGAGGAGGTGGTTGGCGCGTTCGACACCTTTGGTTTCACCCCACCGCCTTCTGGAAAGATGGGTTTGCCCGATTCCCCACGATGGGCGGGATCACCCTGAGGGGCTCCCGGTCTGGAAGATCCAAAGCCTTCCGTGTTGCCTGCTACCGGGGTGGGATTTGAAGTACCCCCCCCACTGCTACTGTTCCCATCACACCCACTCTGAATGAGATCCCGCATGATCATCAACTCACGGTTATGAAGGCGGCTGTCGTAGCGCACCTGCTTAATCGCGACGTCCTCGCCCGTTTCCTCGATTTTCGCGTGCACGACGACGCCGAAGCTGCCACTCCCGACGACTTTGACAGGCCGGTAGGTATAGGGCGTATGATTGTGGCCGGCCGCGCTGGACTTAAGACCCACACGGGGATTAGACGCTTGCCTTGGCAGCGTGCGAGGTAGGGTGATTTTTTTATTCAGGCAGCCTGAATCGCCGGAACTACCCGTCTGGCTCCCTATCTTCAGGGCGTACTCTGTATTTTCTCTATTTTTCTTCAAGTCGGTCATACTCTTACAGTGGGGCCGTCTGTTTGCTATAATTCTTACTTCCGTCTCCGGGTGGAAAAATGGGAAGCAATGTCCCGAAGTGACGAACTCTACCAAGGGAACCTCTCCTACTTACAGCAATAGGAAAAGACGTGATGAAAATATGAACACTTTTAGCGATGATAAAAAAGTAGTAGAAAATCAAAGCAATAAGAAACTATATAGCAATAAAGTTAATAATTTCAATGTTGGTTTTGATGTGGATAAACTAAATACACTATATTTGCAATATATATATATATATATATTACGGTGAGTAGTTTCTTCCTCGAACTACCCCCCTCTCGAGTTAGCTTCAAAATTTAATTTAAAGAGTGTGAAAAAAGACAGGAAGGGGAAACCATCATTTAAACACCATGCCATTGAAAGAGAATTTTTCCTTGCTACCCGTGTTAGAGGTCGCGTGGCAGTTGAAAGGGCATTGTCGACGGTGAAGAATAGGCATCCTTATCTTTTCCCTTTCTCTTCACATTTGTGGATTACAGCAATGCTTACCCGGCCCATAGACCCCCTAAATACCGTGTTGGGACCGGAAAAGTCCCCCACAGGGGTGTGCCACCCATCGTTTTCCCTTTTATTTCCTTACCCACCCACCCCCTCTCCCCCATTGCCCCCGCCCCTCCCCACCAGAAGACATTCCCAAAGAGCGCCACGTTGGCACAGCATGTGCCCCCCCCCCCCTGGATCCGGTGTCCCACGTGTGCCCCCACACCTCTCTCTCTATAGAGATAGTGATATCTATGGTCTACATGGATCGAT